TATTTCTATACTACGGAAGGAGACTGCGACCACAAAAAAGGCTACACCATCTTGGTCTTATACTTTCGATTAGGGTTTATCGTTTTTGCGCTTTTCATTTGAAAGCCATGCATTGAGCAGAGGTTGCTCTTTGCACAAAAGAGCAAAGCTTTATTCAAGAAAAATAGGCTTCACCTAAGGGGGTTGCATTTAAGTTGGCAATCATTTGATAATAGTTTGAGAGCTCATAACGAAATTGAGGAAGTCTATTTTAGTAAACTATCCTGTATTGTGTAATTCGTACCACTACTGACCTGGAATTAATGAGTACGCCAGACAAATGTATAATTTCATACTTAAAAAAAATAAAAGAGCAGCTTGAAATATTCAGTAATTAGATTTTTTTGATATTTTAGTGCTCAAAATCATTATAATAAGAAAGAATATTCACCAGTTATTGATTTAGCATTTTCATTTTAGTGTAATTTATTCAAGATAACTCAATAATAAAAATTCGAATACGTTTTTATTTCAGCAAAATACAAATATATAGGTAAATATGCAGTTTAAGATATATAGAAAAGCTGGTTTCCGAAGAATCACTTAATAAATTCAGGTTAGAATACTCTTTACCTCAGTCGAAGAGGTGAGTTAAGGGATTTGTAATTCGTCCTCACCGGAAATTGTAGGGGGATTTCCTTGGAGCTGTGATTGAAGACTTGTGCGCATAGGTTCTCGGCGCACCAGCCGATGAATCCTTGCTGAGCTTTCGTCCATGATGTAGCGGACATCGTCAGAGCAGAACATGATGCCTTACGATAATTTTAGATACAAAAAGAAACTGGGTTTCGATTACTCAACTGAGGTGGGGAGGCAGCCCTACTCATTCCTTTCCTCGGGTGGTTAAACGTTACTGACCCTAGACTGAGAGGTTAGGACAAGTGGCTTCGTAACTTGACTTACAAGCTACATCTCATTATCTCAACAATAATTGCTTACGGACTTTCTCTTGCTTTCTCTTGTCATTAAGCCTTGAAGACTGGAGCCTGACATTAGCCTTTTGATTACTTTGAATTAAGACTTGCATCGCGTATAGACGTTAACACACTCACATTCGAGCAAAAGTAGCAGGACCAGTATGAAAGATAATTAGCCAAACCACTCTATATCTATCTGGGTTTTAAATTTTAGTTTGGCTTAATTGATTCTATATAAGAGGTAAGATAGAGCCGGATAGTATTCTTGACTTAGTGTTAACGTGAAACTTTTACAGGGATGAGACCCAGCTCTGATTATATCCATCATTTGATGAACGAAAGCTCAGCCCGTTTTCACAGGAAATAAGGGAGGTCTCGTGGACTATGTCAACCTAAATGTCGTATAAAAGCCAAACGGCTGCAGTACAACGGGATTCATCCTTCTTTTTATGGTGAGATCGACCTACAAGTCTCCTCTTCATGCACATTCATACGAAATAGAAGTCCCCCAACAATTAACGATTATTCACCAAGACAGGAAAGGTGGCCGGCTGCAATCTTTTTTTATATTTTGGCTAGGTCCATTTAGTGAGACATCCTATGATTTGATTGGAGATCCTTTGCTTTTCCTACATTCTGTTTTAAAAGTGATTTGGCTGCGGATGACATGTAAAGTGGCTGTAATTGAAGCGTAAACTGGATTCATTTGTCAACGAACAGTCGCACACTAACATACAAAACTTGTCTTTTTTTTGTTTGATTCTGCAATTTTGTTGCATGTGATTGCGCTGAATTGCACGCGTGCTGTGTGCATGCGATGCTCGTGAGACGCTTGGGGTTTAAGAATGAAAACAAGATTTGAGGCTAATCAAGCCTCCTCTTCTTCGGCGATACTATTTGTCCCCTCTCTCCCTCTAGTCCTATACAACGGCCACAAGTAGTTTCCACGTAATTTCCTACATTCAGCAAAAAGAAGACGACTGGATCAAAGTATCATCTTTAATTTTTTTTAAGAAATCGCAAAAAGACCAGAAAAGAGCAATCGGAAAGCAAGAGACGTCTATAGTGAGCATAATCAAAACAAGTAGAACCACATAACTTGTAGGTTGGAACACATGAGACTAGGGGATAGGAAGTCATAGACTTGTGATTATAGATAAAGCACGATAAATGTGGCGGAGACTAGAGCTGGTTGGCTAACAGTAGACGCGTTTAATCATAGAAGTGGTCTACTCGAGATCTATATCCGAAGTTAGTCTTCCATCCAGCTTAAGAATCCAGACTTTTCCGGCCTGCTGATCAAGGCGGGAATATACATGCCATCGAAGGCTTAAGGCAGTGTGGGAAATAATGTCTCGAGTAGCACCGATAGGGTAGGAGAGGTCAAGTGGAATACCTGAACCAGGAAAATAGGAGACGGATCCTACAGGACAAGAGGAACAATTTGATAGGACCTATGAGAAAATGATTGCGGAATAATATGGCAGGCTCAGATCAACTTGCCTAGCACAATGGTAAGGGGGGGCGGTGTGGGGTGTGAAGAGGTCCCTCGATATCCGCTTAGGACACACCATACAGTATTAAAAAAGCAACTAAGAAATTGTGATAGTGAATGGGTGGTACGAGGCTACAGGATAGGTGAATAGCCCGGAATAGGAGAGATACCACAACTGTTTAGCATACAATTGGTCAAAGGATGGACTTCACTTGTCTCTTTGACAAGTTGTAGTATGGTGTTAAGACTGGCAAGGTTCAGTGACGATGCAGGCGCAACGTCTGGGAATGTACCAAGTTCACGGCGTGACTGGAAATTTTCATGCATACTATGAACTCCAGACTAGGTGTGTTCCTCTAAGTCTTCCTGACGATATAAACAAGTTGCGAAATCAATGCCATACAACTACTAGCCATTTTTATCCATTGTACTCGTAGTTCTTTGTTGTTCCAGCATCTGAATATTGACTAAATACAGAGGCCTCACCTTGATCGTCATATAGTGGAGCCATCTTTAACATTGAGCCTCGGTTCTACAAAATTACAAGTCAAAATTATTAACGAACTTGTGCACTTTACATTTCATAGGACTTTATTCTCATCCCTCATTCCCAATTCGTATGTTTAGTCTTATCTCAATATCATATGGTATTTTCATTTTTTTAATGAACTTAATGTGTGCATTTATTTAAGTTAGTAATTAGGGCCTAGACGGATCCAATCCCAGTTCCCCATACTCTCTACAGGGCTTCCTGGTGCAACTATGTACATTTGCTCGGCGATCCACCCCACCCAACGCCCATTATACTGATCCATACTTTGTCTAACAGGCTACGATAATTCACTTGGACTCAGCCACAGTCTACTTTCCTCTAGCCGACTCTGCTATCGTTCGTTAAAGCATATTATGTCACTTAGCTAACCTGTACTTTCTGTCAACCAATTAAACTTTTTACGAACCCAGTTGCCTCTAATGCAGGATCTTACAAGCTATTCAGCAAGGATCTTGTGTATATTTCTGTCTATATCTCATCTCGAACTTGTAGACGGTGGCATTACCTCTGCATCAGCTCTCCAGCTATTCCTCTCCCCCCAGGACCCGTGTTTCCTGGGCCAGGACACTATGACATAACTACCAGACCAGTGGAGCAGCGTTACATGTCCAGCGCTGTATTTCTCTCCAACGAGCCGCGCTGGGTAATTCCCGGTTCCCAGGCCGGGATCGGCATCGAGGTTCCACAAGCTGGGCCTACTTTGACCGGCTTCCGTGACTTCCTCTTGCCCTTTACAACCTCCACAGACGACAATGAGACTCAGCCCATCGGCGCATCTGCTACGTTGCCAGGACCCACTCATTACAATCCATCGGCGCCGGGTAGGCAATCATTCCATTACAATGCTAATAACGTCTGGATAGCATAAAGTAAACATTCACATTTCAATCAAATGCTTGCTTATCCTGCCATTCGGGTAGGTACCTCTATTAATCATTGTCACAAAAGTTGCCTGACCTCATTTCCTTAACTTGGTACGTTATCAGGGGGACTTATTTGGATGTACCCTGTCCGAAATCCTATGCTATAGTAGTTATCATAATTTCCCTTGTCAAACCGTGGACTTGATATATTCCCAGACATTTGGTCGGCATCGACAGTGAGTTTTGCCATTCTCATTACCAAGCTACAACTGGTCAGAGAAAGTAAGGCCAATCCCCTGACCAACTTTCTGCTGAAGAAGTTGTGCCTAAGAAACGTCTGGGAATGCACCAAATCCACGGCCCGACAGGAATTATGATAATTACTATAGCAGAGGACTTTGAACAAGATCCGCCCTAATAAGTCGCCCTGGCAATACGATCAAGTTGCGAAAACGAGGTCAGTCTACTTGTATACATCAAAAAGAGACTGCGACCACATCATCTTGGTCTTCATATCTTAAAATATCGTTCTGCCTATTTAATACATTTGAGGACAATGAGTGATGAAGCTAAGTTGGCATTTCTAAAACCCGCAATTGTATACACATCGACATCGCATAATTGATCAATCCATAAAAGAAACTGTGTGAATTTTATATCTACCAATTTTGTGGTATTTCGACTAGACTCTTTATCAATTAGTCTTTAGTAACAAAAATATTTATTCCTAACTTGTGGCTTTTATATTGGACTTGAAAATTGGTCAAAT